CAAGGAAACCCCAGGGCCTTTGCATGTGCCGGTTCCACCTCAGGGCCTTTGCAGTGCTGGGTGCTCTGCCCCCAGGTTTCCCATGTCAGCGTTCAATTCTCCTTCAAGTGTCTCCTTCTCCAGGTTCCCAGACTAAAAGTAACACCCTTTGCTTTCCCCATCACATTACCCTGTTTGTTGGCTGCAGAGTGCTTCCCAAAGTTAAAAAATATATATAAATATATATCCTGTTTATTTATGGGTTTACGTGTTTCGTGCCCGCCTTCCCCATCAGACTGTGAGCTCTGGGAGTCTCGGGATCCATCTGGTTTGTTTACCTCTGCATCTTCCACCCCAGAGAGAGGACCTGGCGTATTGAAGGGGCTCAATTAATGAATCTGTGGAATAGATGAATAAATGAATGAACGAATGTATCCCACCTTCTCCAGGCCAGGTGGACCTTGAGGTGCCCCTAGGGCAAGGCCTAAGTGCCCTCCAAGTGCCCTGCACAGCAGGGAAGTTCTGACAGTGGAGGAAATGAAACTGGCTGGTGTGATGGACATTAGTGGGGGTTCAGGTGTCGGGGGCAGTCAGGGAAGGCCTCCTAGGGGAGGTGGCATAGAGCTGGGATGTGCAGGGTGGGGAGGAGCCAACCACACATGGAGATGCAGGGAGGGCATTCCAAGCAAAAGGAATGGCATGTGCAAACGTCCTGAGGCTCACTGTGTTTGAAAAACAGAGCAAAAGCCAGTGTGGAGAGGGAGTGGAGTTAGTGAGAGGGAGATCATCAGGGGGCGAGGCACCAGGGTTGCAGGGGCCAGCCATGCAGGGCCTTGGGGCCAGGGGAAGAGCCAGGATAATATTTCAAGTGTGCCAGGGAGCCACAGGAGAGCTTGAGCATGATCAGATCGATGGCATTAAATGTTCCCGGTGGCTGCCAGCTGCAGAAGGAGCTGTCAAGGGCAGCAGTGCTTGAGGGGGTAAATAAGAGTGTGTGGCTGTTCTGCCCTGTCACAACAGAGTCATTGAGACAAGACAGTGTGGTCCACAGAGCTGAAAATATTTACTCTCTGGCCCTTTACAGAAAAAGTTTGCCGACCCCTGAGGGAGATGGTGAAGCTGTTTACTGAGGAGGGAAGGAATGCGGTATGGGATCAGGTGTGGGTGTTCACACAGGGCTGTTTCTCAGCCTCAGGGCATCTGCGAGGGCTCCAGGCCCCAATTTCTGGGGCAGGTTAGGAGCTTTAGTGCATGCGCTGGGCCCAGGTCTCATCTGCTCTTGGTTTCAGGCCTCCCCAAAGCTAGTCCTGCTCCATGAGCCAAAGAAAAGGAAGCCATCTGCAGAGCTGGACAGAGTACCCACAGAGGAGGCTGCCTCCTTCTGCCTCCCGAAATCCCCTCTTGGGGAGACCCACCAGAAACTCTGGAAAAACCTCAAAATGCTCCCCAAGATGGGCAAGAGGGTCCAGCAGCAGCTGGAATCCCGCCTCCAGGCTGCGAGCTTGTCATCACTCCGGGATGCAGGGCAATCAGCGGTGACTCACACCTCCGGGGCCAGAGCAGGCAGCCAAGAGCACTCAGGTGACGCAGCCTGGAAAGACAGTGTCTACACGGACCCTTTTGTGGCCACATCCCTCAAGAGCCCTTCACAGCCCCAGTCTCCAAGAGACAGAAATGCCCCCTCCAAAAAGGCTGAGAGGTCGGCCAGCTGGAGTTGGCACAGAGTGGTAGCGAGGGCTTTGTCCTCCCGGGTGTCTGAGCCAGAGGCAAAGGACTTGATGGGGACTCAGAAGGACCAGCTCCCTGAGGAATACCGCCCACCACCACCCTTTGCCCCTGGGTACTGCTAGTGAGGGTTTCACCCTGGCACCATGATATGGACTGAAC